CCTCCTCCTCCCCTGTCTGCAGCATCTCCTCCTTGCCCAGGCTTGTGTGCCAGAGCACTTCCCTTCCTCCCAGCATTCAGACACTGGATTTCACCAAACCAGCACCTTCTGAGGCAGAAGCAGCAGGGTCCCTCCCCTCCCTGCTGGCAGACAGGCGGCTGGGCTGGCATTCCTGGCTGCCTCCCTTTGTGGAGGGAACATTGCAGGCAGTGTGTGGGCTGGAGCTATTCCTGTCTGCAGGATAATCACAGCCAGGCATCTCTCCGGGAATGGGGACACGTGTGCCACGGGAAATGGGAGCAGGGAAACCTCTCCCCTCCTCTCCAGAGCGGGTCAGACGTGTTGGAACTCCCAGCCTGAGAGAATTCTCCACGGCAGTACCCATGGCCCTTCTCCTACACTGCTGCCTCCCCTGTCCCCATGCCAGGGTCATCCTGATCCTGCCCTACACAATCCTGGGGCCTGGATTTGGGCAGCTTTCCCTGTCTGTGCACACTTTAGTGCCACTTCAGTGGTGAGAGTCTGGGGCCGGCCCTGCGCAGGGGCAGAGGCGTCCAGACCCAAGGGCACAATTCCTTCATCAATAACTTCCCAGGCAGAATAAATTTGCTGTGACAGCTTTTCTTTAAAGACCTCAGACTGTGCCCCAGGCATCCCCTGATGGAGCCCTGGCCTGCTGATGCTCTGGGTGCCTCATTTACCCTCTGCCACAGGGCAGAGGAAATTAAAAATGGGAGTTCTGGTGGGTGACCAGCTTTCCACCTCCCACCTTCAACTCCTGTTCCAAATCCCAAACCCCTCAAGGCTCAGGGCTTGGAAGAACCTCGGTGTCCTCATCTCTTGAGCCTTCCTCCACTAGGTGATGCTGTGCCTCTTGGAATTATTAAAAACCGGATGAAATTCTCGTACTTTCAACAAACGCAGCGTCGGCCAGAGAACGTCTTCAGAGCTTCATCTGATATTCACGGCTCTTCCCCTCGCAGCACGCCCAGAGCTGAAAATATTCCCAGCTGGCAGCGAGTGATGGCCTTTCTCTGCGAGAAGGAGGTGCAGGGCACGGCAGGAGCCAGGAGGGGTTGAAGTGTCACCCTCCCTCCCAGGGAGAAAGAGCCACAGCATCCCAAAAACGTGGCCAGGATCTCCCGAGCGTAAATAAACCCCAGACAGACACGGGCAGGGAGAGGAGCTGGAGTGGCTGAGGGCAGGATGGGGTGGCTGAACCCCAGCCTTGTCCCAGGGAGCTCTCCAAGGGACACCTTGTGGTGTTCACCTGCCCGGGGAGCTCTGGCAGAAGACGGCGATTTTCGCCGCTGCTGCCGGGATGCCGGGCTGAGATGCGACCAAAAAAAACCCCCTTGTCCCGGTCCTGTCCTGCCCCAGGCAGCTGCCCCGTGCTCACCTGTCCCTCCCCGGCCAGGTGCGGGGCTCAGAGCCCCGGCGAGCCCGGCACAAGGGCGCAAAGCCCCGGAGCGCTGCCGGGAGCCGCGCCCGGTGCCCGCCCCGCAGCCGCACTCACCAGGGCCGGCCGCAGCCGCACAGGTTGCCCATGTCGCTCCTTCCCCCGCCGAGCCCGAGCGCTCTCTGGACAGGCTGGGCTTGTATTTCCTGGTTCCTGCTCCGGCTGCAGGGAGTGTCTGCCGCCAGTGTCGGGTTTCGGAGCACTGGCCCCGTGTGCCATCTACCGGGGCTGGCCCCGCTGCCGGGAGGACAGGGCGAGCTCTCGCCGTGTCCCCGCGCGTCACCCTGCTGCTAAAACTCGGGTTTGTTGTCCCAAACAGCCGTCCCTCCGCTGTCCCTGTGTCGGGCCCGCAAAATGAGTCGGAGGAGGGATTTCAGACAAAAGGAGAAGCCCCAGGGTGGGAGCTCGGTGCTGCTCCATCCTCGCACCTCCAGCAGAACGCGTGGCGTGTGCGGCACCAGCCGGGAATGAGCGGATTTCCTGCAGTTCTCGGCTGAGCTCTGCTGCCCCGCAGCCTCAGGGACACTGGAAATGCGCTTTTTTCAAAGCTACCTGGATAAAAGTGTTCCGTTCCGTGCCTTTGAGAGCGGCAGGGTCCCAGGAGAGCCCTCAGAGCCTTAAGGAGCTGCAGTGCAGCTCTCAGGCTCAGCCCCAGCGGGTCAGATGGGAACAGGGACGTTCATTCACCTCTCTGCCCCTGGTGAGAGCCCTTCAGACTGTCCAGCCTGAATGACCAGAGCCCTGGTCATTCCTGGACCTAAGGATCAGGCAATTCCTGGGATCTCAGGCAGGTCTAAGAGAACAGATCCTCCTGAAAGATATCATTTTATTGTCATTCTTGAGCAGTAACACTGCCCCACAGCTCTGACCCAGTTCTGTGCAGGTCTGATCCCTCGAGGGGTGTCCAACAAGGGGGTGAGCATTAATTCACTTTTCTGTGCCAGGAGCTGGCCCTGGTTCCTACTCCAGGTGTACCCACGCTCCCAGCCAGGCTCCCAGCCCAATTCATCACCTCCCCAAGGGCACAGCAAAGCTCGGACCTGTCCAGGAGTGGCAGAAGGAGAAGGATTCTGCTTTGGAAGGGTCACAGCCAGCTCTGGGAGAGCTGCAGTGTGACCTGCAGAGCCTGAGCCTTGCTCTGACTCTGCTCCTCAGCTTGGGGCTGGAGAAACGCCAGGACGAGATTTGTGCAGACAGCCCGGGTTCAGTGCTGGTCCCGTGTTCTCAGGGTCCTGCAGGGTCCAGGTGTTCCCAGGAGCCTGTCCCTGCCTGGGAAGCTGCAGACTCTGTGTCTCTGGGCTTGCCACAGACACTGTTGTTTTAATGAACCAGCGTCTGTTTTGATTTCTGGGATAACTCGGGCTTTGTTGCTTTGTGGGGAAGGAGGGGGAAAAAAAAGTCTGGAGCCTGTTCCCATCAGCCTCTTTCACAACTACTGGAGCTGCCGCTTCGAGCTCCACCAGAGAAACAGAAAAGCACCAAAAACATTGGCAGGGCCGGGGAGCGCTTGGCTGCCACCCCGCATTCCCTCCCCAGGCTGTGTCTGCGGGGATGGAGCAGGCACGGCTCCCGGGGATGCTGCCGGGTGGGGACAGTGCGGGGACAGTGCGGGGACAGCCCTGCCCACCCCCGGGCACTGCCAGCCCCTCCCGCAGCGCTGTTAACAGAGCTGTGACACCCGCACAGAGAATGAACACGAGGGAGAGCAAGAACAGGGCCAGGAAGAGCCGGGGAGGGCACAGAATTTTGTAGTCACTGCTAATTCTGGGTGTTTTTATGGCAAGAGTGCCCAGGTCCCTCAGGCACCGGGACAAAGGTGGTACAGGCACACACCGAGCTGGCACTGTCTATCAAAAATGAAGAAGAGTGAGCTCTGCACTGTTCTGGGCACTCCTTTTTTCTCAGAATCCTCTCCCAGGGCAGCCCCAGCCCTGGCTGTGTGCTGGTTTTGGTCCCCAGTGCTTCACCAGGCTGCTGAGCAGGGACAGATGGCATCTGATGGCCCAGCCTTGCCATGTGTCCCTGGCTGTGTGTCCCTGGCTGTGTGTCCCCTCCTTGCCCTGTTCACGTGCTGGCCATTCCCCATCCCCAGCCAGAGACCTCATCCCAATCACAGGAAACCTGCAGGGAGCAAAGGGACATTTCTTGCCAGAGCAGGGACAAAGAGCAGCCTTTTGGAGCCGCTGCCACAAAGTGTCTGTGAGTCTGGGGAAGCCTTTTATAAGGGAATTAAAAGAATAATAAAGGCTGGCCATGCCTGAGCCCACACACACCCAGGGTGCTCTGCTCTCAGCACAGGGCTCAGGAACTCATCCCTCCTGAGATCTGGGGTCTGGGGGGGTGTTGGGTGAATGGGATGCAGGTGATTAAAAGTCCCTAGCTCAGAATTATGCCTGAAATTATTATTAATCACTTAGACAGTGCCTGTTGCAATGGTGATTTTTTTATTCTGACAGTTTCTCTGGTTCTACTTCAGGAGTCAGGGCAGGAGGTCAGACTGAGGTACCGGCTCTGCACTGGGCTCAGCCACCCTCCCTGTGCCTCCTGAGCCTGGCAGGCAGGGCTGCTCCTCATCTGACTGATCCTCAGCGCTGCCAGGGCCCTGGGAAGCAGAAAAGAGCTGAAAATAGCCGGGCAGTGCTCTGCTCTGCTCTGGATCCCACTTTGCCTGGCAAGGGACAGAAATCAGCCTCATATCCGTGTTCCAGCTCCCAGGGGGATGTGCTCAGGGCAGGCTCCTGAGCGGGGCATTCCTAGCCCCAGGCATTCCTGGCCCCAGAGTGGGGTGGAAGCAGAGCCACAGGGATTGGGGGAAATGACATCCCCGAAGATTTTGGAGCCTCCCCTCCCCTCTGTTGGGAGAGCTGCACCCAGGCATGCCAGGCACCCCCAAATTTAGCCACTGACACAGCATTTTGTGTGCCTGGCTTGGCCCTGATGACACAAGGGTGGCAACTGTCACCTGCTGAGCCCTGGGGCCGCTGGGGCAGCAGCTGCCAGCACCAGCAGCACACACGATCCCTGTCCCCATCACGAGACCACGGGGACATTGCTCATGTAGCAGCACAGGGTCTGCAAAAGCAGCCAAATTCAGCCCCTCCCTGCCCTCACAGACAGGCAATTGTGGTCTGAGCAGAGCCTTTCCCTTCAGTACTTTGGGGTTCAGTCCCCTCACAGAGGTCTGTGTGTGAAGGGTGTCCTGTAACCACAGGGCTGAGCAGGCACAGGCTGTGGCTGGGCATTAATTTGTGCCCCATGAACTTGGGCTCATTCCAGCTGCAGGTCTGGAGATGGTCAGGGACCTTCCAAGGGCTCCTCACTCCTCACCTTCTGGTCCTTGAAGTCACTTCACTCTGGGCTCCCTAAATCAGCAGCTGGGCCAGGGGGGTGAGGCACAGAGGTGGCCACAGTCCCTCCATGTCCCCGCTGGTGCCACTTGCACAGGTGAGCTCAGTCCCAGCTGGGCACTGTCCATCCTTCCTGCTGCACAGGAGCAACACGAATCCAAGGCAAACGAGAAGAGCAGAGGCAGATTTATTCCTCTCTCCTCCTGATTTCTGCAGGCACTTTCACAGACCAACACGCACCTTCCACAGCCACGAAACTCAGCCACCAGCTAAGAAGCCAGGCACTGGGATCCCCTTTTTTCTCTTCCCAGTGCCCTTCTGGGCTAGAGCACAGTCCCTTGAGACACAGCCTCACAGTTAAGGGTAGGAATGACCCTGGGGTGAGAGCAGAGCTCCCTGCATGGTGACCTGACCTAGGAGAAAACTTGCACTACAGTCACTCACACTCACACTTCAGTCCCACTCTTTTTTCCAGTTCCAAGTCCTGTTTTTTCCCAGCCATCAGCCTCAAGAAGCAGAAGTGTGGCTGCCTCAGGGCACTGCTGAACACTGAGGGTGAGGAACAGGGGTCTGGCATTTCGCATTCCCCATCCCTGTCCCCCACAGCTTCGCAGATCTGCAGCCTTTAGGATTTTTCCTTTGCTTTTCCTTCCTCAGCCTGCTCCTCTTTTTCCACTGGCTGCTCCTGCTGGGTTATCTTCACCTCGTTGACTCTGGCCTTCACCTCCTTGCCTGTCCGGGGAGCCACAATGCTCAGGATGCCATCGTGGGACAGGGTGGCCCTGACCAGCAAGGGATCCACGTCCAGGGGCAGGATGTAGGTCCTGGTGAACTCCCTGGAGATGAAGCCGTGGCGGTCAGCCTTCTGCGGGTGCTGCCCCACCACCTCCAGCAGGTTGTCCACGGTGCGGACGCTGAGCTCGTCGGGCAGGAACTGGCAGACATCCAGGAACACCTGGAACTTGTGCTCGTTCAGGCAGATCTCCGAGGTGCCCCTCTCCAGCTGCTTGTTGATACGGGGCCGGATGTAGTAGCCATGGTACAGGGCAGGGGCCAAAATCTCCGATGGGGACACACCTGGGAAGGAGACTCAGTGAGGAGTTTCCAGGGAACGGGGTTGCAGGAGTTTGGGACCTGGAGAACACCTTGGCTTTGCCACATAGCCATGACAGGGGTGGAGTCTGCTGCGGTTCCCACCTTTGTGCCCCTAAAGCACACCCAGAGCCACATCCCTGCCAGGCCCTGCGTGCCCCTGGGCTGCCCAGAGCTGCCAGCAAGGGCTGGCATCCAGCTTGACATGTTGAGAGGGCCCGGTGGGTGCACGGGGAGCTCGGCAGCACCGAGCCCACAGCCAGGGATGGGCATGGAAACTGCTGATGGTGAAGAAACCACCCTGAAGAACTAAAGGCCTTTTGTGTGCCATTGTCCAGAGGGCTTTCCTTGGAGCTTTTTGCCTTTTCATGCTGTTGTGCTGGTGCTGAATGGTTCTGCTGCTGCCCACATTCCTTCCCCTCCAACAGCCACTGCCCAGCTTTGTGCTGAACTCCCCAGCTCAGCTTTTCTCCACATCCCCCGGGTTGGAAAAGCTTCCCCCCCTCCCCAGAGCGATTTTGCTCCATGTTTTCACAGCATGTGCACGAATGCCAGAGCATGGCTGGCATGAGGGAGGGCGGGACAGGCAGCAGTGGGCATGGATGGAGAAGTGGACATGGAGAGACCCTGGCTGTTCCCTGGCTATTGCCTGGTTATTGCCTGGTTATTCCCTGGTTTTTCCCTGATTATTCCCTGGCTATTCCCTGTTTTTTCCCTGGCTATTCTCTGGTTATTCCCTTGTTTTTCCCTGGCTATTCCCTGGTTATTCCCTGGCTGTTCCCCCCTGATTTGATCTGGGTTTCTCCACTCAAAATCGCTCAGCTCCAGCTTCCTCCTCTGGAGCTCAAGCTCCCCGGAGGGAATCCCAGCAGCCCTCCCTCCTGCAGGAGAGGGGAGAAAGGTGCAAAGAGGGGGGGATCCCACCTCCTTCCTTACCTTCTCCAAAGTTCTGGTCGTAGATCTTGCTGGGGTTGGCGAACTCGTACTCGGAGCTCATGGGGTAGGCGTGGGGCACGGTGCGGGCAGCCATGGCGTGTCCAGGACGGGCACCTTCCCTCCTTCCTTCTTTCCTTCCTTCCTTCCCAGCCCTCGCTGCCTCTCCGAGTGAAGGCTGCAGGCTGCCAGGCTTCAGCTGGGTGGATTCCAAAGGGAGGAGTGTGTGATAAAAAAGATGGACCAAAATAGCCCCGCGCACAGGCCCCAGGACGCCGGCCCGGGGCGGCCAGGGAAGCTTCTCGCTGCATTCCAGCAGGGAGGGCAGGGACTGCCCAGGGACACCTCGGGGACACCCTGCACATCCCCCCGGCCTCTGAGGGTCCCATCTGGAGCATGGGCAGCCCAGCACAGCCCAGGGGCTGAGGGGAGCAGGGCAGACCCCAGGCTTGCTCAAAGCAAGGCCAGCGAGAGGCTCACTGGAGCAGCCTTGGGGAGTCCCTGACGCTGGAATTGGTGGAATTGGGTGGCTGGTGCTTGTTCAGGCCGTGTAATGAAGCCACTGCCCACACCCATTGCCCCACAGGGAGCTTGGGGCTCAAACCCCTGCGTGAGGAGCCTGATTTTCCCAGAAGCTGAGCTCAAGTCTTCTGTTCCTTTAGTGGTGAAGGGCTGCAGGGAGTGAAGCAGGGATGCAGATGCCACTGCTGTCACCTCCCCATCCTGAAGCGTGCTGGCTGCCAAGGCTCTTCCCTTGGCCAGGGCTTTGGCACAATGTCATGGAGAAATGCTGGTGCCAGACATGGCCAGTCCACCCAGGCTCTGAACCTGGCGTAAATCCAGTTTTACTGAGCAGGGCTGCTGGGCTGCTGGTGCTGCAGCAGGGGAGGAGTGCCCAGCTGAGCTCTGCATACCCTGAAACCAGAGATTTCCTTGAGCCCTGCGGTGCAGGAGAGCAGGTGCAGTGCTGTTGATGTAATGGGGACTTGGAGAGGGTATTTATGGCCTGGGCTGCTGCACAGAGCAAATCCTGCCTCCCTATTCTTGCAGGCAAGCCGAGAGGAAGAGGCTCAGAGCCTTTTGCAAAGAACTGGCAGGGCCTCTGAGCCAGAAATTGTGTTTAAATTGCGAGCTCTCACAGGCAGAGAAGCTCTTGCCCTTCAACAGTTGCTGGGCTGGACCCATTCCTGTGATTTGGGTTCATGGGCGAGGCAGGAATTAAAATAAATGCATGGATTATTAGGAGGAGAGCTGCAGGAAAGCATGTTCTTGCAGGGGCAGAGGCAGACAGAGCTGTTCTGCACCCCTGGGTGCAGTGCAGCACCATGCAGGCCGTGACCGTGCCCAGGTTCTCTCAGTGTGGGGGTCTCCCCATCCATAAAAATGTGCTCTGCAGTGGGCAAAAGACTAGAGGTGTTGGTGGAGAGATCCATCCTTCACTCACACACACTACGAGGGCTCTCTGGGCTGCAGAGCTGCACTGCCAGGGCCATCCCAGCAAAGCCCTGCTGGCACCTTCCCTAGCCCTGGTTTTGGGGCTCCCTTTGCTGCCGGGACAGGCGCAGCCCCGGTGGGCGATGCTGGAGCCGAGCTCCCGGGAACAACGGCCCCTTGTCCCTGTCCCTGAGCCAAAGATAGGAGCTGCATTGATCCCGCTGGCATCCAGAGCAGCTGGGAACACGGGCCAAGCCCGCCGGGGACTGTGGATAAACAGCACGTGGGCAGCGGGGCGGGCGCGGGGCACTCCGGCTTCTTGCTGCCCCATTGGGCTCCTCTTCTTCCTCTCTCCCCTTCCCCCTCCTCCTCAGCAGAGCGCTCAAATCCCTCAGACAGCTACTGGGCACCGCCGAAGGGCCCGGCCCAGGAGTGGGACAATAAAATCCCTGACACCACTGTTCAAGAGGCCTCGGGGGGGTGGAAGGCCAGGCCAGCTGCACGGGTATAAAGCTGTCCCCGCTCCCGGCACGCCACTGCAGCACAGTTGTTTGCCAGGCTCCTCCAGCGCTCTCCAATGGATATCACCATCCACAACCCCCTGATCCGCAGACCTTTCTTCTCTTGGTTGGCACCGAGTCGTATCTTTGACCAGATTTTCGGGGAGCACCTGCCGGAGTCGGAGCTGCTCCCTGTTTCCCCCAGCTTCAGCCCCTTCCTGATGAGATCCCCCATCCTTCGGATGCCCAGTTGGCTAGAGACAGGACTCTCGGAGGTAATCTTTGCTTCTTTGGGCTCTTTGTGATGCAGCCTGCTGGCTCTGGAGGCCCAGGAGAGCTGAGAGCTTGGAAGACGCTCGTAGGTGTTTTTTTTTTTTTAGGAAAAAGGCTGGGGAAAAAGGTGCTGTGTTTGTGCCTCTGCGTTGTTTGGGATGGAGCAAGTCTGGCCATAGTGATGGGAGCAGAGGCAAACCGAGCTCAGTGTGCATGGCAGATCACCCTAGGAGCTGGCAGAGGAAAGGAGGAAGCATAATTTCCCTAATTTCCTTAATTTCCCTAATTTCTCTGATTTCCCAGTCTGCTGTGCCAAACTTTCATTCCCACTCCCACCTGAGAAGCAAAAAGCGCAGGGGCAGTGGGATCCTCGTGTCAGGCAGTGCAGGGGCCCGTGGCTGCTGAGGGAAAAGGGGCCTATTTGAAACAATCACTGCCCAGAAAAGCAGAGTTTTAATTAGATCCAGGACCCAGATCATGGAGCAGGTGCCTCCTCCCTCCAGGGGCTGAGCCAAGAGGCTTTTGCAAGTCAACTGTCTTATTTACAAGGAGCTTGAGGAGCTATTCCAAGCAGAAGGAGTGAAAGTATTCTTTTAATCCTTGCGTAATGTTCCTCTTGATTTAGTGACCTGGCTCTGGCTGCCCAGTGAAGCAGCCATGTGAAAGAGTCAGCTTTAAATAAAGAGTCAGTTTTAACCAATTCAGGTTGAGAATCTCAAGTCCTGTCCTGATGGGCGTTAATGCAAGGCCAGCAGGGGACAGAGCCACTCAGATCAGATCCCAAAATAAAGGTCAGCGTGTGTGTAGAGACCAGCTCGAGTCTTGATCTGCTGCATTCTTTTTTAAGCTCAAACCCTCACCTGCTCTTGTCTGAAGTCACCTCCTTGCTTTTGCTCTTTTCTGAAATCACCTCCTGGTTTTTGTAGATGCGACTGGACAAGGACAAATTTTATGTGAACCTGGATGTGAAGCATTTCTCCCCTGAGGAGCTGAAGGTGAAGGTGCTCGGGGACATGATCGAGATCCACGGGAAGCACGAGGAGCGCCAGGTACCCCCTGCTTTACCACTGTGAGCTCCCTCACCTCTGGTGACTGAAAACAACCCTGTGCTCATCTCAAATATTTGTAATTTCTTTTTATCAAGATGCTCCGTGCAATCCCGCCCAGCTGATCCCACACAGGGCAGCAAGAGGGTGGAGGTTTATTGCTGATGGTGCATGAACTGTGAACTGAACTGGAAAATCATCTGTGAAATGGGCATTTCTGGGCTTCCCCTCTTTCTGGGAAGAGGTCAGGAGCGTAGGGAGGCGTCCAATGAGTTAAAAATGAACTGTAATAACCAAACCACATAACGAATCAGTGCATTGCCCTGTGTGTTACCTTTCCTAGGTCCAGCTATCAGTTTCTAATCCTTAAAGGTTGTGTTCTGATGTCATTCATCCCTCTCCCTGCTGCCTCTGGAGACCTGTGTAGACACTGGGCAGGCAGAAATGCAAAGCCATGCCCGGAGATGTGACAGCATTTCCCTGTGTCCCTGGAAGTGCCACCCCTCGGAGCTCCTGGGAGCTCGGTGTGTCAGTCAGGAAACCCAGTGCTCCCTGTAGCTGCTGGGGGCCTGGAATCCCAACACCATTCCTGGAATCCTTTTTGGCTAAGAAGAGAACGAAGCCGTGAGATCAGGCGCTGAGGGTCTCCGGGGTGGTTGGGAATGGCACCTCGGGAACGCCAGCACAGAGCGCAGGGAATCCTCGGGCTGGCACAGGGGATGGCACAGAGCTTCTGTGGAAGGCGCCTGCAGCCCAGATTTTAACTCTGGCTCTTTAAAGAGAGCAGCTCATCCCCAGAACCCCTTTCTCCCCCCCAGAATCTTTCCTTGGAAAGCCCCAGCTCCGCAGCCTTTAGGCACAGACCCCGCGGTTGAGGCGCGACCGGGCGAACGCTCCTCATTAAAGCGCGGCCACTGTTCTGTGCCGCCCTTTTTGCGCAGGACGAGCACGGCTTCATCGCCAGGGAGTTCAGCAGGAAATACCGGATCCCCGACGACGTGGACCCGCTGACCATCACGTCGTCGCTGTCGCTGGACGGGGTGCTGACCGTCAGCGCTCCCCGCAAGCAGAGCGATGTCCCCGAGCGCACCATCCCCATCACCCGCGAGGACAAACCGGCCATCGCAGGCGCCCAGAGGAAATAGGGGCTGCTCTGCTGTCCCCCAAAGCCACCCCTGGAGGGCCGTTCCGGAGCTCTTTCTGCCACCGGGTGCCGGCTGTACTGAATGGCTGCTCGTATTATTTATGCTGAGTAAGTTTACTAACGAATAAAACCTTGGAGAAGCAGTTTGGATTGATTTGTTTTGGGTTGGGTTCAGAAAGGTGGATAAAAGGTGCGGGGGAACATCATTTTTGGGCGGCAGGAGTGTCCAGGACAGCTTATCTGGGTGTTCAGAAGCACTTTGCTCATCACACCTTTGTGTTCTCTCCCCCTTCAACGCTGCCAGAGGATTTCAGAGTGTTTCACAAGCAACAGGAAAGTTTCTCCCGTGGAGATTAAACTGATAAAACAGCTCCATGACAATTGAAACCCATCTGAAGTGTGGGTATTTGATAACAGCTGGCTGGAAGACAACTGTATCTTAAATCTCAAATGATTCATGTAATGGAGAAAGGTCCAGGGGCTGCAGCCAGTTCAGAGCAGCTTCAGGTGAAAACTGCAGGGCTCCAGTAAACACAGATCTATCCAAAGAGAAGGAAAACATCTTGCTCTGATGATGCAAATCACATCCCTTTGAAACTCTGTTGTCAGTGCCCTTCAAACAGTGAGCAGGATCTGATGTCTACAGAAATAATCTGATTTATGCCAGCATTGCTGAGTGATGCAAACCACTAGTAAAGTCCTTTTCAGGCATCTTCATCTCCTTAGCACCTCTCTTCAAAGGGGTAGAAAGGGAAGTCTGGATGACTGGAACTGAATTTCTAAAATTCATCTTCAAAAAGAACAGATCTGTAGCACAGATCACGAGACTCAGTCATGACCTGACCTATTTTCTGTGTTCCTTATACCTGTTAAGACAAAAGTTTTATTAGCAGGGATCACAGTACACCTCAGCTGAGCAGGGGGGACATCCTTCTGTGGCTGTAGGTGAGAAAAATCAAATGAGCACTCTGTGATGCAGGGTCACTGTCAAACTCCCCAAATCCCCCCTTATTTCCAAGCTCTGCTGTTTCCATTTAGCTGGTTCTAATTAGCTCTGCCAGCTAAGGTGTTAATTTGCTTGTCTGGCCAGTCACAGCCACCTCTGCACACAAGAACAAACCCCAGACACACACAGAGGTTACAAACAGCACGGATTAAAAAGCAGGAAGAGCATTTTCCACATGGCTTTCATGTGTGACGGGTCTTGGTGCTGGAAGGAAATCACTGCACCGCTGATTCCTGAGCGTGTCTGGTGCTTTCCCTGCATCCTTCGTGTTCCTCCTCTGCCTGGAGGCCTGGGGTGCAGCAGGACTGAGCAGCTGGGCTGCACAAAGGAGGTTCCAGCTCAGACTGGTGGCCTGGAAATCCATGAGGTTTTTGTTCAAACCCTAAAAGAATCAGCATTGAAAGGAAGTAAATGTAAACTAGTAAGAATTTAGCCTGAAAGTGCAACTGAGGGAAATCTTTTTTACAGCACAGGGGGTTTGTCAGGCTCAGATCAGCAGCCAGAAATGGGAATTTTGAGTGAAAGCTCTCTGGGGATAAACTGCATGAGGTCAGCCAGACAAGAATACTTGAAATGCAAAACCACTCCCTGAGTGACCTGAAATACCTGTTCTGGGGTGGCACAGGAGCACAGCCCAGCAGGGGAGAATGACAGAAAACATCTCTGTCATCTCCAGGCACAAACATCATCGAGAAACTCCTCACATCCAACAGATCGTCCCAGTTCTGCACATGCAAAATTCACTCTCTGATGTTTCCCTGTAATCTGAAGCAGGTTGTTTCCAAAGGGCTGAAAAGGAAAACTCACATTTTCCCTGGCTAAATACAAGTTTGGAGGGGTTTCTGTAATTATTGGAATAGGGAGGTTGTGTGGTAAATATTTTCTCAGTACCCAACACCTCTCCAGGCCACTTACCCATCATTTAAAATTGACAAAATTATTCTCTCAAGGCCACAGGGACGCAGTGGTGGTACAGAGCTCACAAATCGTGGCTGTGGGTCTGTGTAGGAGCTCAGCTTTGCCCATTTCAAACCTTTCTGTGTCATTATCTGTGTGAAAGCTGTCCTGACACACGGTCCCTGCCCTGTGGGGCAGCTGTGGGCACACAAATGGAGCAGCTGACACCCAAGCCTGGCTGTTGTAGGTGTTACAGACCATAATTTCCTTCCTTCTCAAAGGCACTGTACACATATGTGAGGCAGGGTAATTAATTTACCTTGTATCACCCTGCTGAGGAATTAGGGACCTTGTCTGCAATTACTTGACACCAAATGATGTTTCCACCACCTTTCCACTGCTTCTTTTCTCTTTTTCTTCTCTTTCTGTCCGTCTCTGCTTCTCCCCTTTGGGAATTCAAGCAGCACAGATATTGTCAAAGAATAAGAATTGCAGGTACAGGTAAAGGTGAGCTCAGAGGAGGCCACCAAATTGATTATAGGGCTGGAACTCCTCTGCTATGCGGAAAGGCTGAGAGAATTGGGATTGTTGAGCCTGGAAAAGAGATTTCAGGGTGCCCTAATTGTGGACTTGCAGTACCTGATGGGAGCCCCCAGGAAAGATGGAGAGGGACTATTCACAAAAGGCCTGGAGTGACAGGCCAAGGGGGAATGCCTCAAACCCGACAGACAGCAGGGTTAGATTGGACATTCATTAGAAATTTTACCCCGTGAGGGTGGTGAGGCTCCGGCACAGGCTGCCCAGAGAAGCTGGGAAGTGTCTGGAAGTGCTCAGGGATGGGGCTTGGAGCAACCTGACCTGGGGCAGTGAAAGGTGTCCCTGCACAAGATCAGCTTTAAGGTCCTTTCTAACCCGAACCATTCTGCGGTTCTGCGAGTCAACGATTCCTCGGCTTTTTTAACAGCCTTTTTTTTTTTTTTTTTTTTTTTTCTCTCTCTCTCTCTTTTGGAACGCAACACCCATTTCCTACCCATTTCCTGCTGCTCGGCGGCCGGGAGAGCTCCCCGGATCCCCGCTCCCAGCGCATCCTTCCCGGGGACACCGCCACCTCCCCGGGACAGCGGCTGCCGAGGAGTCCCCGGGGGTGGCCGCGGGGACCCGACGCCACCAGCAGTGGCCGCTGGCCGGGCCGCACGTCATGAGCCAGCGCCGGTGGCCCTGAGCGCCTGGGGACATGTCCCCGCCCGGGGACCTGCGGCTCCGCCGCGTCCTGCTGCTCGGAGAGGGCAACTTCTCCTTCTCCGCGGCGCTGTGCGGGGCCCAGGGCACGCACGTGGTGGCCACTTGCTACGAGAGCGAGGAGGAGGCGGCCGGGAGAGGGGGAGCGGCGCGGAGCATCCGCCGGCTGCGGGACAGCGGTGGGTGCGCGCCGGGGACCGCGGGGACAGCCGGGGACAGACCGGGGAGAGACCGGGGGACAGCCGGGGACAGCCCGGGGACCACGGGGACAGCCGGGGACAGACCGGGGAGAGACCGGGGGACAGCCGGGGACACCCCGGGGACCACGGGGACAGCCGGGGACAGACCGGGGGACAGTCGAGGACAGCCCGGGGTAGGCACGGAGCTGCTGTGAGCCCTTTGCTGTCGCCCTCCTGGCATCGCTGTCGCCCCGTTGTCGTCCAGAGTGGCAGCACTGCCCCGCGGGTCCCCCTCCCGCTGCCGTGTCCCTTGGGAGCCCCTCGCCACTCCTATGCTCGGCTGTTTTCAGAAGTTTCTGCTGCCTTGAAAGAGAGCAAAGAACCACACAGGACTTCCTGGTGTGTGCCCAGTGCTCGAGGCAGCTCTCACCTACTTAAAAATTCCCTGGAGGATTTGCGTTCCCACCTTTCTTTAAAAATTTCCTCCCCGATAACCATCGGAGCGTTGTTTTGCTTTTGCTTTTGCTGTTGCAGGAGCCGAGGTTGTGTTTTCCGTGGACTGCACCAAGCTGAAGGAGCACTTTTTACCGGGAAAACGGGAATTTGATCGTATTTATTTCAATTTCCCTCACTGCGGGAGAAAAGCTGGGGTGGTGAAGAACAGGCAGCTCCTTGCACGCTTTTTCCATAGGTGAGTGAACCAGGAATAATTCTGTGTGAATTATCGGCCGTGGCACAGCTTTCCAGCTGCGTTCCAGGTGTTTTTCCCGGCACTGGGAGATCTGGAGGTGTGCTAACAGGAATTTTCTGGTTGCTTGGCTTCCCTTCCAGCTGCTCAGAAGTGCTGGCACAGGAGGGAGAAGTCCATGTGGCCCTTTGCAATGGCCAGGGAGGGACTCCTGCGGATCAGCCCAGGAGGGAGTGGCACAACAGCTGGCAAATCGTGGCTGTGGCGGCAGCAGCTGGGTTTGTCCTCAGCGACGTTCATCCTTTCAAAGCAGAGACCATCCGTGGATACAAATGCACAGGATACAGGTAACTAGTTAAAACTGAAATTCCCATGTTTGTGCTCTTAAAATGCCCCAGCACTAGAATATTCTTTTAGTGTCTTGTTGGCTGGAGAGGAACTGCTTTTAAATTTCCTTGAAATTTTCCTTGAAATTTTCTTTAAAATTTTTCTTAAAATAGCTGCAGTTCTTGTTCATCTCTAAGCAGAATAACCAAGATTAAAATGCAAGCTTCCTGCCAAAGCACCCTCTAAAAATAAGACTATCTGAGGATTTTAAAGGTCAAAAGCATCCGTTTCAGAAGGAATATCAATCTCAGCCTAAAGACAGGAGGACTGGGGGTTGGTGCTGGCAGGGACCTCTGGCCATCATCTGGTCAGAGGCACATTAAATATCAGAAATTGTCAGTGACTTCACCCTGGTTTTGTGTATTTTCAGGAGTCAGGATAAATCCTTCTGTGTAGAGGGTGCTTTGAACCACGTTTTCACGCGGGGCACAGCACCCCTGTGTTTCACACCCATGAGCTGCAAGACACAACTGGGGAGACAAAAAGTTTCTTTTCAAGTGCCACAAGTCCTCGTGGATAAAATTAATAGGTGAGTTTTATAATTCATTTCTCTTTGGCAGTAGCAGCTCTCCTGCTCTCAGTGGGAATGGGGTCAGATAAATGGATATGGTGACTGGGAAATCCTTTTTTACCAGCAAATTGCAGTTAATTCTTGATTGTAACCTGCAGACAAACACCACTGCCCTGAAAATGTGAAAGGCTTGGCTTGGTCAGGTAATTCCTGGCTTAAGAATGTTTTGGGTAAATTGCTGCACTCAAATTGTGGCCACAGGAAGGAAATCACAGATGGTGTCTGTAATTGGCACTTTTATTTTTCACAGGGGTTTCCTCGAAGTGAATTCGAGTCATCCAGTAAGGACAATAAAGGAGAAGCTCAGTGCAGGGCTCAGCCAAGCTTTTCCGCTGCAGAACATCAGCTCCTGCCTTCCTCTGCTCCACCAAGGTCACCCCGATGATGTTTGCCACTCCAACATCTTCTGGATCACTCTGAGCCCAGAGGAGGCTCCAAGCACTGAGAAAACATCTCAGGGACTGGAAAACACAGATTTGTTTTCCCATTTTGGCCAGGACACAGATAAGAATATACAAGAAGGATGCTCAATTCCGAAGCAGTTTTATCTTAGGCCTTCCCTCCTGCCTCATGCTCAGGCAATAATAAAAAAAGGAGCTTTTTCTCCAGGGACACTTCAGGTTCTTTCCGGGCCAGTTTTCAGGAAATGTCGGATCACTCCCCACTCCATGCCTGTTTTCCATGAGATGCTCGTTGTGCTTGCAGTTGGCAGAGGCACAGAGAGCAGCTGTATCCAGATGTTGGTGGATAACATTAAAACCACCGTGAATTCTCTTCACCAGGGCATTTCTGGCATCAAACCCAACATCAGCCTGCAGGAAGCGACAAGCTTTGGAACTGAGCTAAGTGACTTTGCTGCTTTTGAATGGCAGCTTGGTGAAATTCAGCATTTCCTCTGTGTGGGGACAGACCCAGACCCCTCAGGCTCCTGTGTGGGGGTTATCAGGACAGCTGCTGATGAATTAAAGAACCATGAGCTGGTTGTTGTCTCGGCCTCACTGAACCTGGACCTCTTGGCCATGCTGCTGTGTGGAATATCCGACTGGAGAATGCTCTGGACATCGGACAAGCGCTTCCTCAGGCAGTTTCCTGAGGGAGAGTTGAGGCTTTTCAAGAGTTTTTCCCTCTACCCACCTTCCTACGTGCACGATGTCAGCTTCTGGGTTCCTGACGGGGAGGAGTTTGATGAGGTGGCTTTTCACACCCTTGCCAGGAGGGTGTCTGGTGAAATGGTGGTTTCCATCCAGTTGAGGGACGATTTCCAGCAGCCAGGGACAGGACGGAGGAGCCTCTGCTACAGGGTGACTTTCCAGTCCTGTGACAGGGCCTTGGGCTGCCGGGAGGCAGCGGAGATGCAGCTGCACTTTCGGGAGGAAATACAGCAACACCTGGCTGTGACCCTGAGGTAGAACATCTCCCGTGGTTTGCAGGGGCTGCAGCAGCTCCCGTGCCAGTTCCTGACCTGGAAAATGTCACCTGCATGTCGCTGGAGCTAACACTGTGTTACTGCAGTGCCTGTCACAAGGGCGGGGTGGACTTGGAGCACCTTGGAGCGTCTCAGTGTGGGAGCTCTGTTAATGAGGACTGAGCACTCTTCTGTTCTCTGTGTGTGTAATGAAACCGCGTTTTGTGGAGCCTTTCTTTTCTAGGGTCCTGTGAGGGTGGATTCGACCTCTTTACTAAAATTCCTGCTGCTGTCCGCCCTGAGCCTCCCCTCCTGGCAGGGACTTGTGCAGAGCCAGAAGGGCCCCCTGAGCCTCCTTTTCTCCAGGCTGAGCCCCTTTCCAGCTCCCTCAGCTCCTCCTGGGGCTCCAAACCCTTCCCAGCTCTGTTCCCTTCCCTGGACACGCTCCAGCCCCTCCATGTCCTTCCCGTGCTGTCCTTTCTCCATCTCCTGAGTGCAGGGGGTACCAAATAAAGAACATTAAATGTGGCTGCGTTCCCCGTTCCCTCACATTCCTGCCCAACACTGGGCGGGGATGGACCCTGGCTCGGACTCGGTGTGCGGGGCAGGGACCCGGTGGGTGATGGACCCGGGTGTGCGGGACAGCGCTGTCCCTGTCCCATGTCCCTGTCCCGTGTCCCTGTCCCTGTTCCGTCTCCCTCTCCCTGTCCCGTGTCCCTGGTCCCGGTCCCTGTCCCGTGTCCCTGGTCCCGGTCCCTGTCCCTGTCCCATGTCCCTGTCCCTGGTCCCTGTCCGTGTCGCTGTGGCGCTCCCGAAGGCAGCGCTCTGCCCTCACCCGTGATGGCGGCGGTGGCTTCAGCGGCGCTGCCGCAGCTGCTCGGTCCGGGCGGCGGCGGCCGGGGGGCCCTGGCTGCCCGTACCCGGCATGGCCGCCAAGGGGGCCCGGCAGCGGCCGCGGGCGGGCGGCGGGGACGCGGCGGGGCGGCGGCCTGAGGGCAGCGAGGAGCCGCGGAACGAGTGGGTGCCGCCGGGGCCGGAGCGGGGACCGCCGGGGCTACCGGGGCTATCGGGGCTACCGGGGCTATCGGGGCTACCGGGGCTACCGGGGCTATCGAGGTTACCGGGGCTGCCGGGCTTTACCCGGGCGGTCCGTGCGGTGGGGCCGGTGCTGCAGCATCCCCCTGCCCGCTCGCTTTGAGGATGCTGAGGCTGATGGTGTTTCCCTGGGAGGCTCAGGCATCCCCCCCGCCCTCACGCCACGCTCAGCCTTTCGCTCGCTGCCACCTTGTGAGCCTTGATCTTCCTGCTGCGTATTTGGATTTGATTTGATTTGATTTTTCCCCCCACCCCCCACTTTGGATTAGATCATCCGGGAGCAAAGCAGGGCACGTCTGGGCCCCTGAAGGATCAACAGCTTTCAAGTGTCTCATCTCGGCCAGGTTCTGTGCAGCTCTGCTGAGCAACATCTCGGATTGTGATGAGACCTTTAACTACTGGGAACCGGTGAGTGCCTTCCTGCCCTTGGGACTGGGAATTTGTACTTGGCCTGTGCAAATACCCATTTATTTAGGATCTTGTGCTCTCTGTTTCAATTTCCAGTCGGCTTGTGCAAATGCAGATTTATTTAGAAGCCTGTGCTGATGCCTCTGTTTCAATGAGAATTTTTTTGCGCTGGGATTCAGGGGCGGGGAGTGGAAAACTGTGTGCTGCCTGTTAATTTGTTTGTTTTTATTTGTTGTAGACACACTACCTCATTTATGGGAAAGGGTTTCAGACATGGGAGTACTCTCCAGCCTATGCCATCCGCTCCTACGCTTACCTGTGGCTCCATGCCTTGCCAGCCTGGTTCCATGCCAGGGTTCTGCAAACCAACAAGGTAAATCATGTGTGTGGAAGCTGCTTTTGTGAGGGGGAAATGTCCCTTTAGTGTGTGTGAAACAGCTGCCCTGTTTGGGGTTGAAATTGACTTCGTGATTATAAAACACTGGTTTGTTGACAAACATTGACCTCCCTGTAAGGATTTCCAAGGGTTTGTGGGTTTCCCCTGATACTTTACAAGCCCATTTTGTGTCTTGTGCCTCATTCAGACTCTGGCTGTGTCTGCTAGGTTCTCATCTTCTATTTCCTGCGATGCTTCCTGGCCTTCCTGAGCTGCATTTGTGAACTCTACTTCTACAAGTGAGTGTCAGAGTCTGTCTGCAGGGGATGTCTGGGAGCAGTGTGAGTGACACACGCAGTTACTGCCACAAGAAAAGGGCTTTGAGGCTCATGTGTAGATGAGAAAATACATGTTCTTGTGATAACTCAGTGAGATGTTGGTCAGAATGCCACAATTAGGACAAAATTGTACTCCCAGATCTGCCACCCACACCTCTACTCCAGCATTTTGTTGACTCCACTTGTTTCCTCACTGCTGGCAGCAAGCAGGGGTGGGAGTGTTGCAGACTGAGGAGAGTCTGGTGCTGTGTTTGCTTATCACAGTGAATTTGACTGGAACACATTGATTGCTGCTGTCTGTAATCTCTCTGCCAATGTTGTTTACATCCACTAAAATCAGTAGCCCTAACATGCAATTTTCTTGTCTAAACTGGATTTTTATTTTTACCTGCTGCCTCTCGATTCCTGATTTTCAAACCACTACCTTGCATGACTTTTTTGTTTGTCAGTACTCTGGCTTGAGGAGATGAACTGTGGCTTTTTTTTGCATGATGGGGTTTGGTGAGGGGTGAGGATTGATGTGTGCACAACTGGGAGAAGCCAGGCCCCATCCAGAGTTTGGCACTGGTGTAAGTCAGGGTCTGAAATCCCACAGAGGCAGCAGCTGGGTGTTGGGAACCCCCCTCAGAGCAGCCCCTCCTCAGAGCTCTTAGGCTGCTCTGTGGATTGTTTGTGGTTCTGCATGCCTTGGGTGCTGCTGATTTGTGCCCTGAGGCTATTTTGTGGTACCTGTTTCTCTGCTGCTTCCCCAGGGCTGTGTGCAAGAAGTTTGGGCTGCACGTGAGCAGGCTGATGTTGGCTTTCCTGGTGCTCAGCACGGGGATGTTCTGTGCTTCTGCAGGTGAGTTGGCTTGGCATTGGCACTAACAGTGACCAAAGGCTGGTCCTGAGAGAAGAAAATTGCATCTCAGGGGTTCTCTTTTTTCTATTCTTATGACAGAATAAGCATTGATTCATATTTTGTTCTCTGTGTTACAATTTCCAGGCCTGTTTCTGTTGCCACCTCCTGTTTTTTAATATTGCCATGCCTTTTAAACAGGCTCTTGGCCTGCCTTCCTTGGACATCTTTTGTTCTAAGGAAGGAGGCTGATATTTTTGGCAGTTTGCCTCTGTGTGCTGTCCCCTCTGGCTGGTTGTACCTGTTTTCCCAGCCACTGTAAGACATGTGTGAAACACTTGCTGGGTGAAGTGTGGGGAGGCTGTGCTGACCTTTGTTCCCCTGGCATTGCAGCTTTCCTGCCCAGCAGTTTCTGCATGTACACCACGGTGATTGCCATGACGGGCTGGTACATGGACAGGACCTCGGTGGCAGTGCTGGGGGTGGCTGCTGGAGCCCTGCTGGGCTGGCCCTTCAGCGCAGCTCTGGGGTAAGGAGCACTTCCTTGCCCTTCCTCAGGTGGTTTTCACCTGGCTGGGGACAATGTCGGGGTGGAGGAGAAAACCAGCAGCCAGCTTAGTGCGGGGTCGTTGCTACAGGCTGCTTGGCTTTTGAACAGCTGAGGTTGGGAAGATTTCCTGGTGTTAATACGAGTAAAACCTGAGCTGGGTGATGAATCTGGAGTAGAAGCAGAGGCGAGTGAAGTGGAGGTTCTTTCTCTTGCTTTGAAGGGGCAGCAGAACCTGCAGTGGGGTTCTCAGTCTTCAGCTGTCAGCTGCTCTCTCTTTCAGGCTCCCTATTGCCTTTGACTTGTTGATCCTGAAGAAGAGGTGGAAAAGTTTCCTGAACTGGTGTGTGGTGTCCTTGATCCTGTTTTTGGTGAGTGCCTGCAACACCACAAAGAGGGAATGGATGGCAGTAGAAAGGATGAGTTCCTTTAGGAAAATCAGTTGGAGCACTTGAACACAAATCTGCTTTCCTGCAGGTGCCCTTGGTGGTGGTGGACAGCTATTACTATGGGAAGCTGGTGGTGGCACCTCTCAACATCGTTTTGTACAATGTCTTCACCCCCCACGGCCCTGATCTCTACGGTGAGTTTGGGATAAGAAGGCAGGGAGGGAGCCCGAGGTTCTCTGGCTGCCGTGCCCTTGACTGGCAGTGATTTTTCTGCCCCAAAGCAAAAGCAGCCTGCCAGCTCCAAAGGCTGCAGCAGCTGCTTCTGGACACGGGATGGCTCTGTCGAGCTGGCAGTGCACTGCCCGATTCCTCCACGCTGGGAGCTGTGCTGCTTTTGTTCACTTTCCACTTCTGTGGAACTGCCAGGAGATGTCTCACTGTGCTCAAGTGGCCTGTGTGTGTTTGTCAGCTTGAGTCTTGTTCCTGGCTGCTGTTCCTCACAGTCAGGCTGCAGAACTTTGGGAAAGTGAGGAATGGTGCAGAATCCATCCTTATTTCTGTCCTTTCCCTGCACTTCTAGAGCTGAACAGCAGGAAGTTAATTTCTATCAAGGCTTCAGAAGGGCTGGCAGAGACCACAGGATACCTGCAGCACCTCTGTGCTGAGGCCAGAGGAGCTGTTCCAGGAGGGATTCAGCAGTGGTGAGGAGCAGCAAGGCTTTCTCTGGCAGCTGGCCTTGCTGGTTGCACTGAGGGGCTGTTTTGGGTGGTGCTGAGTGGTGATTTGTCACTTGTGCTGTGGCACAGCAGGACAGCAGCGGCTCTTGGCCTCTGCAGGAAGGCTCTGAAGTGTGGAGCTGGGAGTTTGCTGTAAGTAAACTCCAGGCTCTGATAGGTTTTGGCAGAGGTCTGTGCCTGACCTTTTCCACACTGGTGCATGAGTTGTTTCCAGAAGCCTCCGGGGACCAATCCGTCCTGAAGAGTTTTATTCACAGTGACATTCACACAACATCCTCGGGCTAGTAAAAGAGCCTGCCTGCAATTGCTCTTTAATGCAGCGTGTCCAGGACAACGCTGTGTGTTTAGAGAGCTTCAAAACACTGGGGAAAAATAACACTACCAGGGGAGATGAAAGGCTGGCCAGTCCCTCTTGGCTTTGGAAGCTGGGATTTCCCAACGTTCACATGATGGGGACAGAGTCACCAACCCAGATCATCTCCAGTGTAAGCACCGCAGTATTTTGGAGACAAAGTTCAATTAATTTTTTTTTTTCTTCTGTCTTTAGCAATACACTCCCTCTACATAAATATTGTCTGTGCAATTAATATTTCCCTGGAGTGATTAGGTTTCTGCAGCCAAGGGAAAATAGCTTGAAATAGAATAGAAATGAGTGGTGTTTTTTTGGGGGTGTTTTTGTGTACTTATATTCTAAGAAGTCGTAATTTGTGGCCAAAGTTTTGTCCCACTTTGGGAAGCTTTATTCAGCTTGGGTGGAATGTGCTGGAGCTGTTCATGTGACACCTTTCTCTGTGGAGCCCTGCTTCTTGAGCAGAGTGAGAATAAATGAAATGCAGCTAGCAGACTGTTCATTGTAGCAGCACTGAATCAGAATGAGGGCTGTGACTCATGACCAAATTATTGCAGCTTAGTTACTGCTTGCCAGCTGCAGTTCCTGCACTCAGGCTTCAGCCCAGGGTGGGGCTCCTTGTCTTAAAACCTCTTCTACAACTCCCCTGCTCTGGCCTGAGCTGCCCTCACCGTTCCTGTGGTCAAGGTGCAGCGTGGCTGAATGGGATTCACTCCCGAGGCCGAGTTCTGGAGTTGCTCCCAGGGCCATTCCAGACCTCAGAGTTCAGAGCGTTTTCTCACTCAGGGTCTGACAGTGCTTCCAGCTGCTTTTCCCCATGGAACCACCACGCCAGGAGCTGCCTGGGTGTTCTTTTCCCACTGCTTTCACTGGTCTGTCTCCCACATCCCACACCTGCCCAGCTCTGGGACGTGGATCCTTGCAGGAAGCTCCATCTCCTCTCCTGCTCTGGAAGCACATTCCCATTAACCTGAGCATGGAGAGCTCTCCAGTGTCCCTCCCCTCTTCAAAGATGATGTTCTGGGCCAGGGCTTCTCTCATGCAGTGGGGTCATTCCTTTTTGAGGCTGAGTTCACCTTGAGCCCTGTGGATAACAGGAATAAAACCCCTTTTGCCCTGGAAGGCTTTGAGCCTGAATGCCTCTGAATGGCTGCGTCACAGTTAGCCAGCCTGCTGCTTTTTGCCTGCTGTGCACTGTTCTCTCCTCTTTTTTTCCCCCCTTTCTATTTTTTTTTTAGCCTTTCTCAGAGAAGAAAATCCCTCATTGGAGAAGGAGAGGAGGCTCCAGTGCTTTTTTTTTTTTTTACGGGCAATTCAGTCACACTGCAAAAAAATGTGAGCCAGCAGCCTTTTTATTGTTAAAGCTGTGCTTCAGAGCAGCTGATCTGTTTATTAGCAGAATTATCTGGGCTGCATTTGGATCGTGGAGGAGTTGTGTTTCATCAAGTGTCCTTCACTCCTGACCCCCAAGCTGCCAAATCAGAAACCAGAGAGGTGAATTCAGGGTGAATTCCCTTTGCTTTCCATCACAGCCAGAAAGGTGGCAGGATGGCCTCTGGAATTATCCTTTAAAGATTTAGAACTTATTGATATCATTGCAGTTTGCTTCCAGTGCTAATAACTCAGGGTTTCCTCCAGAAACCCAAGCTGCTTGGCCAAGCAGTGACTCCAGTGCCATGTTTGTGACATTCCCAGTGCAGCTTCTCCCCTTTTTTTTTTTAGCTGGAGGAGCTGCAGAGGTTTCGGGTTTTCCTTGCTGCTTTTCAGTTGTCTGATTAATTTCAACACGGACCCAGTTTAAGTGGCTCTGATTGCAGGAAATTGCTGTGGCATGTGACACATGTCACAACAGTGCAGTGATTAAAGCCCCCGCGTGTCATTTACTGGCTGATTGAGCTAATCACACTGAGAGAGTGGGAAATGTGTGGAGAGGAACTGGCACTCCTTATTGTTAAGGGCTTTAAGCATCCTGAATTAGGAGTCTAAATAAATGACAGTTGGACTGGAGTTTCTTTCAGTTTACATCCTCCAGAGCTTGCAGCCAGTTCCCAAGTGTGGAGGCAGAGCTGCCTCGCTCCTCTGTGTGAGAACAGGCTGAATTTGGGACATTTAAGGGTTAGGTTTTTACTTAAATATTTATTTTAAATGTTTATTTAAATAGTGCTGAGTCTAAGGAGGGACCAAAACCAGAATTTAGTGGCAGAGCCTTTTGTTGGGGTGAAGTGGGATTACAAACCCCTTTCCTTCTTAATCCTTTTTGGCACATTTTCTGTTCCTGACAGCCCAGAGTGAACATCCTCACTCCAGAGTTTTATGACATTTGTGTGGTTTTGTGTTACTCCTCTGCAGTTAGAAAGAAAGAATGAATTTGGGGTGAAGTTTCCCAGTTTGACGAGTTTCCACCCCTGCTTCCTTGCTGTCCTTCTGAATGTAAGGGTGAGCTCTGTGTTACAGGATTCTGGGAGTGCTCTGGGATTCATGAGCAGAAGATGAAATACTGACTGGTTTTCACCCCCAGTGAAAAAATAAGGAGAAAAATCATTTCTGAGCAGGAAGACAATGAAGTTTCTTGGGCTGGTGTGAGTGTGAGAATCTCTGGTGGGCTGTGTCAGGCAAAGAAGGACCAAAGCTGCTGTTCCATCCATTCATGATTGTGTTTCAAACCTCTTTTTTCCTTTTTTTTTTTCCTCATCCTTTAGGTACAGAGCCCTGGTACTTCTATTTCATCAATGGCTTTCTGAATTTCAACGTGGTTTTTGTGCTGGCCCTGCTGGTGCTGCCTCTGACCTGTCTGATGGAGTGTTTGCTGCAGAAATTCCGTGGTGAGTGCAGGGCAGAGTGGGCCTGGAAGTGAAACTGGGAGCAGTGAAAGCCTTTGGAGCACCAGGAAAGTTCCTGGAGCTCATGAGAGTTCAGGTTTGTTCCTTGCCTCTACCTCAAGAGGAAAAATGTGTTCAAAAAAGCAATCCTGACAAGGTGTGGGGTTCCTAAGCTTCATTCTGATATTTAATGCGTCAGGAATGGCCCAGTCACTAATCCTAAAGGGGGAAGAAGCTGTTCCCATCTTGTCTGCAGCTGGGAATGGGTAAAAACCTTCTGGGATTGAAGCTGGACTGTTCTGGGCGCTGTGGATTTTTCAGCTGCCAGGACTGCCAGGCTCCCCGTGCTCTGGGAAGTGTCCCCGTGGGTGTGGATATACTGAGAGTTAAAAAAAAAAGGAGGAACCAGAATATTCCCTACTTCTCACTGTGCTTTTTCCTGAATAAAATGACATCAGTTTGAGCACATGACACTTGTGACTCCAGAGGGGAAGTGTAAATTCTCCTCTGCTGTTCTCCTAAGGAAGATTCACCAAGGGTCAGCAGCAGCCTCCAGATTCATCAGTCCAGTCAGTGCTTTGCTTTCTCTGTTTTTTGGTTTTTTTTACTGAATACAGCAATTTGTAACACAATCCTCGATGAAAATGTATGTTAAGGGCTGTTTGCTTATATCTGTTCCTTGGCTGTGAGTGACAAACACTCAGAAAGCAGCAAAAGCTCTGTAGGAGCTCCTGTAAATGCAAAATTTCCTGCTGTTCACTTGGTGTTCTTGTAGTTAACAGCAGGATCGGCTCTGCCAAGAGCTTTGTTCTTATTGTCTGTGAAATGCCGTTGGCTTAATTGCTTAACTCTGCTGTTGGGAGTAGCAAGGGGGTAGGAAAGGGACTGAAAATTGTCAGGCAGCATAGAACTCTCCTCAGTGTGACTGAAATTCAGGGTAATTGTTGTTATTTTTGAATCAGTTATTTCCTCTGTTAAGCAGAAGGCGCCTGAGAGACCTCTCCTGGTGTTATTTTTGTAATGAGGCGATGAAGGTTGGGCAAACTTGAGGCTCTAAACAACCATTTGGGAGGGGAAGGGGAGATCCTGAGGAGGCTCTTCCTGATCTCTGTGTGTACAGTGCCCAGCAGGGAACCCAGCACTCCTGTCAGGCATGGCAGTTCTGGATGGGTTTTGTGTCTTCCTGGATCCAGTAACACTTATTTCCTGCTTTTGGGCTGTTGGAATGGTCAGTATTGTAGGAATCTGGAAAAATCCTCTGTGGAAAATGCCCTGCTGGCTGTTTGGGTGTGTTACCTGGGTTTTAGCAGCAGGGGTGCTCAGAACAGGGCGTGTTTGGGTCTCCCAAGTGGGCTTTGGGTGTGAGGGAGGATTGTGCAAGAGAAGGAATTCTTGCATTGCTCCTTTGCTGAGGTTTTGTTTCTTCCAGTTCAGAATCTGGGCCGTCCCTACTGGCTGACCCTGGCTCCCATGTACATCTGGATCCTGATTTTCTTCAGCCAGCCCCACAAGGAAGAGAGATTTCTCTTCCCCATCTATCCCCTCATCTGTCTCTCTGGTGCTGTGGCTCTCTCTGCTCTTCAGGTAAATTCTAGTTTTTAATAAATAGCTGAGAATATTTCCCAGCCATTATTTCAGGACAACTTTGGGTTGTTCTCCAATCCCAAGTGGGAATTCCTGCAGTTGTGGTGCTGCAGTGCCAACACCACACAAAATCCAAGGGATTCCATGAGGGTTCAGTAACCTGCTGGTGGAATTGTGCCTCCTTGGCTGCTCAGCTTTAAGGGCAGGAATGTGAGTGTGTAGGAAGTGCATTTTGATGTGTTTTATCAGGAATCCCTCACTGGGTTGAGAAAAGGCAAAGGGATCTTGTTTAAATGTTGGGAATGAACATTTGGAAGAGCCAAAATCTGGATATTTAGTAAACATCACTTGAACCACTTCACAGAGCAAAGCACTAATACAGACTGATATAAACCTTCCCAAAGCTCAGAATTATTCATCTCCTGCTGTTAAAAAGAATCAGGAATGCAGCCAGAAGTCCAATTCCAGCTGTTTGGCCTCATCCTGCTGTTCCTCCTCTGTCCTGCCCTGCTGGAATTCCTGCCCACCTCAGTCCCTCATCCTTCCCATGCTCAGATGCTGGATCCAGCTCTGGAATGTCACCACTTTTATGGCTCTGAATGAGAATTCCTCTGTGCTCTCAGAGCAATGTTAATTGGTTCTTATTTTAAATACGGCTTTAGGAAAGTTTCGTGTACATTTCTTGCATATTTTTACCACTGTTTGATGACATTTTGCTCAGTATGGAGCATCCAGCTGGGAATCTGGAACTGGCTGCCCAGCAGCAGGACAAGCTTGTCACTCACTCTCCCCCTCCAAACCACGTGGATTTGGCTGTTATGAGAAAAATGCAAACAGGACAAAAGAAACAGAAACCAGCTGAGGGCAGGGAGTGAATTACCACTCCTGCAGGCCAGCAGGGAGGGAGCAAGCCAGGGACTGGATGTGTTTCCTCCTGGCTATTCCCAGAAAGGCTTTTTAATTGGAAAAAAAAATAAAAAAATAAACCCTAAAGGGCTCTTTTTAATCAATTTTTCTTTTGTCAGTTTTTCTTCTCTCAGGTTTTCTTTTATGAGTTTCAGAGTGACCTGTATTTAAAGCTGGATGCAGAGTGTGCTCTGTTCTTTTATCCACTTCAAAGCTGTGGTTTGTGCAGGCAGGGTAAACAACCAGAGGTCACTCTGGAAATCTGGGTCATGGAGCTTGTGTTAGGCAGGAATTCAGGAAAATCAGGTGAGTCTGTGCAGGGAACTTCTGCAGAGCTGTCTGGAAGGGACACTTGCCCCTGGTTCACCTGGGAACAACCTAGCTGAAAACTTCTTGAAATACCACTTATTGGTATTGAAATTATCACTTAAATATGACTAAACCCTGTGAGTTTCTGTGCATTTTTATGGCTCTAAATTAAAAAAAGCCCAAAGATCTGGTGGGGGATGTGCTGTTGTTAGGCTTTTATGAAAAAATGAGAATTTTGCTGAACAGATCAGAGTTGAAGTAACTTCATATTGTCTCTTTTTTTTTTTAATCTCTTCCCTGAGAAATGTTACCACTTCATCTTCCAGCGCTACCGCCTGGAACACTACACAGTGTCCTCCAACTGGCTGGCCCTGGGGACTGTCTTCCTCTTTGGCCTTTTGTCACTCTCACGCTCTGTTGCCTTATTCAAAGGTTGGTATTTCAGATTTGCCCTCTGCTCTCCTGGCTCTTGGGCTCAGGGCCTGCAAAAGGTTGTGCTGCTTTGCCTGTAGAAATCAGGAACCTCGAGAAGTTTGGGTGTTGTTTCTGCTGGGGAAGGGATGAGTTCATTAATTAATTAGTAGTTAATACATTTGTCCATATATGTGTGTGAATGGATCACCAGAATTGCATCACTTCAAAATCCTCTTCACTGATCTAAAACCTGACTGGTGTTAAAGCAGATGCTTCAGTTTTGAAATGGATAATCCCACTTGGAAAAGCATTTTCCTGTGTAAAACATGAACTAGGTGCACGAGATGGATTGGACATTCCTGGAATCAGAGCCTTCCCACCTCACCAGTGTTTTTTGTTGGGGTTTTAGTGGCCATTGACTGCCAGGACAGGGGAATGTGAATAAAATTATTAGAAAGAGGAGAAACTTTGAATCAGCCACTTCTTAGCACAGACCAGTTCATTTATTCAGTGAGTTACCAGTTAAAAAATTATGCATGAAGCCGTTTTTGCAGGCTTTAATGAAATACCCCTCTTACTTTAATTGTGATTTCCTGCCTTCCACAGGTTACCACGGGCCCCTGGACCTGTACCCGGAATTCCACAGGATTGCCACTGACCCCAGCATCCACACGGTGCCAGAGGGGAGGCCAGTCCATGTCTGTGTGGGGAAGGAGTGGCACAGGTTCCCCAGCAGCTTCCTGCTGCCAGACAAGTGAGTGCTTCCATGGAAAAGGTGGATAACGAGGGGCACAGTAATGCACGTGGGGACCCTGGCTCTGTGTTGTCACCAGCAGAGTGTTAAAATACCCAGATAAAGGATTTGGGAGGTTTTTGGTTGGCCACAAGTTCCTGGCAATGTGTGGTGTGCCTGTGCCCACCCTGGGATCGATGTCCTTGGTTCTGGTTTTGGTGCTGTGCACACAAAATGTTCTCCCTGTTCCCTGCAGCTGGCAGCTCCAGTTTATCCTGTCAGAATTCCGGGGCCAGCTGCCCAAACCCTTTGCCAAGGGGCCCATGGCCACCAGGATCATTCCCACGGACATGAACGACCAGAACAAGGAGGAGCCATCTCGATACGTAAGGATTTATTCCTGGTTCCTTTCCCTGAGCTCGCTGGATAATTTAAATTAATGCAATGCCTCTGAGTGGATCTCCCCATTTCTGTTTCCTGGGGAGTTCCAAACCAAAAATGGTCCCTCTGCAGCACTTGGAAATCTCCCCAGTCTCGTGAGTGGCTTCTGTTTGCCTTTCATCTGCCAGCTTGAAGACATAATGATAATAAAAGAAGCAGCAGAAGTAAGAACTCCTAATTATTGCAGTTTGGGGTTTAGTGTAGTGTGTTCATGTGGTCACAGGAATGAGTAATTTGAAGTCCCCCACAGAAAATATTTGTCACTGAGCAGGAACTGAATTTATTTCTTTTTAAATATAAAACTATTTATCATATTTTCAACTGAGGAGGAGGAACTTAATTTGGAAGTTAATTGCATTAGTGGGAATCTGCTAAGATAATGTATATTGGTATTACTGATTTATTTCCTGGTTGAACTGAACAAAACCAGTGCACAAACAGGAATGTTTTAGAACTATTGCTAGCTAGCATGTTTAAAAATTACTAACAGGTTAAATCTTGGCAGTCTTCTGGGTTAAAACTCCTATTTTGAGACTTATTATGCAGTTACTGGAAATGGGAAGGAGGCGTGTTCCCACCTGAGAGGAGCTGTCTGCTGCAGTGCATTTAATTTATGAAATCTTTAACTGGGGCTTATTTTTAGCACAGACAGCTGGCTGCTACACAGCCTGTGACTAACAGAGCAAAACACACTTTTGTTTCATGCTTGTTCCTTAATGTCACCCTACAACTTTGTTATTTCTCCTGCAAGCTCAAGGGCTTAGGACTTCAGGAATTAAACAGGGGGTTAAAACTCCAACTTTTGACCTGCTAATTGCACCAAGAGATCAAGATCTTTCCTCAGATTTAGTGAGTACAAGCACACTCAGATTTTAAAAAAAACCCAAACAAACAGAAGGATAATTATCAAGAACTGGACAGGGACTATGAGAGGGGATAAATCTAAATTTAAAGGGGAGAAAACAAATGGTTCAGGAGGATTATCTGAGCCATGGATAAAACCAACTCATGGCGTAGATCTCAGTGTTTCAGGTGTGTCTATTACTGCTCTGCTTGGAGATGGAAGAGGGAAGCTCCGTGTTCCTGTTGCTATGAGACACTGGGGAAAGAGTGATTTGATCTTCTTTTGCAGTCTCTCTTTCCTTAATCACATTGAGCAGCACTTACCTTGCACTTGCCCGGCTGGGGAGGTGCATTTGGCTCTGAAAGTGCTAAGGAAGAGATAAGGAATATTATTTCTTACCAAGATAGATCCAAGCAGGACCAGCAGATGAGGCCTGGAAGCTGTTAGCAGCAGCTGCCTTCAGGGGAAGGGCTTTTTGAGCACTTTCTCTTCACTTCTCACACCGTGCAGACCCCATGGCAGCAGCAGATGTGCCCTTAGCTCCAGCCCTGTGCTGTTCCCACTCCTGTCAGTCAGGATGGGATCAATTTAGCTCTCCTCCACTTGGCAGAGCAGTGGCATCAAATAAAGAAAGAGTGGGAGGAGGAAAAGGAAAGGGGAGCAGAAGAGGAGAGGATGTAATTTAGAAATCCCTCACAAGACTCGTTCCTTTCTTTCATTTCAAGGCCTGTGCATCCAAGTCTTGTGTAAATCCCCAAATCAATGCAGAGGTGCCACGTTGGCCCTCAGAGCAGGAGAATTATTATCCCTGGCTTCACTAACTTGTGAGAATACAGGGGAAACATGGCTTGCACCTGGAATTTGAAGTCCCAGCCCTTTTAGGGCAGCATTTAGGATGAGACAAGTGAGATCCTTGAGGCAGCAAATTGTCTTTCTCTGAATGATTCTACATCACACCCAGACAAACTTGGTTAGTGGTTTGGGAGTCCTTCTGCTAATGAGCCAGAACCTCTCCCAGGGCCTGGAATGTTCCTCTCACACAGAGCAAGAAGCGGATTCAGCATCCTCAGCTGCGTTTCCTGTGGTGTAATTTCATTTGCCACTCAGTTGTGATGCCACAGAGCCATCTGCTATCCACCTCATTAAATTGTTTCCAGCCCTAAATTGTTACATTAAGTCCCAAAGGTGCTTCAGAAAAGGGATCTCGAGCATGGCCAAGGAAGTTGGCAGTAAAATTCTGTGGGAGAGTAACTGAAATCCCTCAAGGAAGAGTTTGAGGGAGTAAGATGGGATAAGGATTCCCAGCAGGAAGGAGGAGGTTTCACAATGTGCTGTCCTGGATTCCCCCACAAAGGTTGTGCTTGAAAACATTCAGATCACATTACCTGTGTCCTGCACGAAGCATTCACCTCCTGCTAGAGGGGAGCAGCACCCTCTTTGCACTGCTGTGGAGGGACACAACCAAAACCACGAGGAATAAACCCCAGCAATGTCTATTCCTGCAGATTGACATCTCCAAGTGCCACTACCTGGTGGACTTGGACACAGCAACGGAGAGCCCGAGGGAGCCCAGGTACTCCTCCAACAGAGAAGAGTGGCTGACCATTGCCTACAAGCCATTCCTTGATGTTTCCAGGTAGGATTTGCACTTTGCAGAGGGAGGGATGGGGCTGGCTGTGATTTCTGTTTGCAGAAGTGGACAGGGAGGAGAGATCCGTGGGCCAATGCCAGCTTGAAATCCAGCAAAGTGGAGCCTTTGTCAAACTCCTGCTTGCAAAATTTATGACCCAAGTTGCTTTAGAGAGTGAAACTCTGTAAGGAGTATTTTTATAAAGAAATAAACAAATTCTTTATAAAGCTCCCTGCTGAAGCAATGGTTTCTGGGGTTGTTTTCCAAAGAAATGAGGTGGATGTCACCTCCTCCCAGGAGTCTTTTCACTCTTTTTTTTTTGTCCCAGCCAAATTCAAGACAGGTATAAATCATCAGAGGGGATGAGCTCTGAAGAATTCTGTGAAAGCTGGCAGAGAGAGGAGGCAGTCAGCAGGGCCAGGCCTTTATTAGGCACCAGAAAATCCATGGAAGAGATCCCTGCTGGAATCTCCTGCTGTGTTTGTGCTGCCCACTGAGCACCTTGCTGCTGTGTCTGGCCAGGAATCTCTGTGGGAAGCAGAGATTGGGATTTGCTCTGTCAGGGAGTGGGACTGGGGCTGTCAGACCGGGAATGTTGTTCCCAACATTGCTGCAAACCCAGGAACCCTCAGCTGCACAGGGGATCTGGTTTAGTCCTTCAGAGCTCTGGTCATGAAGGCGTCACCCCAGGACAGAGGGTGGAAAAACCTCTGTGAAAAGCTAAGCCAGAGCCCTCCTGTTTTCCAATTGCTTCCTGGGCCCTGCAGGGAGAGGGGCTGGGAAGAGCAGGGGGAAGGAGTGGTAAGGTTTGAGCAGCTCCCAGGACAGCTCTGATGTTCCCAGCTTCCTTGGTAAAGTCCTCCCTGAACTGCATTTTCCAGGAGAACCTGCTGCTACATTTGGGCAGGGGGAAGGAGGTGGCCAATGAGTTTTATTAATGAGGCATCACAGGCACCCTTTGTGCAGAGGATTTGCCCTTAAATGTGCATTTCTGCTTTAAAGCCACATTTGTGGGCTCTCAGAGCTGCTTTATCTTTGGAGCTGAGTGGAGGTTTCGGGTTTGCAGCTCAGTGGTGGCAGAGCAAGGGGTAAAAAAACAGCCCCAAACCCACTGAGCACCTCCCCAGCTCTTGTTGTGTGAAAATAAATGAAATTAAATGGAATAAATGAAATAAATGGAATAAATGACCCCAGCAGCTCAGTTCAGTCCTGCTGCACTGGAGGCTTCTGGGGCTCGCTGCGAGTCTCCCATTGACGTCAGCAAGTGCAAATGTAAATCTCAGCTGGCTCTGATAAATGGTGCTGCTAATTGAATTAGAGAGCACTCCAAGCCACCAGCTAATTATGCTCCTCAGGAAGCTGCTTTGCCAAGGTCCATTTAATTCTATATTGGCTGAGCGCTCCGAATCTGGCACAGAAAAGGGGAAATATATCACAGCTCCCCTCTGAGGAGCACATATTTTTCAGCTCTTTAGGGCTGAGCTGTCTGCTTGCTCCAAACACTTGGGTTTTCCATCAAAAAATAATAAAATTCTCAGTGCAAAATTAATGATTGGGTCACCTTGTTGGAGCATAACGTTACCCTGGTTTGATAAGAGGCTGTCTTGTTCCCTTCAATGGGGTTTTCCTCTAGTTGTTTTCCATATTTTTGTTTGTAAAGTAGCTGAGTTACTCCTGAAATGTGTGTGTTGGTAGAGAATTTAACTCCCAGAGGAAGTGCAAACGTCAAAAGGTTTTCAGAGAGCTTTGATCATGAGCTTTGTGTGGCTGGGAGGCTCTGGGACCTGCCCAGGTGGGACTGGGACCTGCCCAGGTGGGACTGGGACCTGCCCCTGTGGCAGAGCTCAGCTTCCTCCTGCCATTCCCTGCTCTTCTCCCTTCTCCTGCCTCTCTCTGTGCTCTGCTGTCACCAAACTCAGGGTACCAAACGCAGTTTGGGAGGGATCTCTCAGCACTGCAGGTATTCCAAGTGCTGCCATTCCATGTTAGTCTGGGAATTTGGGAAGTGGGGGTTGGAACATCTTCAACGGCTTCCTCTGGCACTACTGGAACAGTTTTTGAGTTGTTTTCCCTGAAATTCGGGCAGAAACAGCCTTAGCTCCATGGATCATGTGGTTCCAGCTCTGGAAAGTGGGAGCTGCTCTGTCCTGCAGCAGTGGCTCCTTCAGAACCCAAAAAAGCCTGGAGAAACAACCCCCTGCTCTCCCAGCTTGGAGCGAGCGTGGCCTCGCTCCTGCTGCTGGGAGCCGAGTGCTGATTAAGGCTCCGCACACTCCGTCTCTGGGGGACAAATTTAGCAGCAAATGCAAATAGAACATTAAATATATTCCTTGTCATCTGTCACCCAGCCCCTTCCATGTGCCATCTGCTGTCTGAGGTGGCTGAGCTGACAGAGGGGTGACAGGAGGTGAAGGCTCCCTCTCTCTCTGAGCTGGGAGGACGCAGGAGCTGCCTGATCCCAGCTGAGCCCGGGCTGTGCAGGAGCCTCGGGAGCCTCTGGGGAGATGCAGCTCCCACTGGCAGTTCCTGCCTTTGTTTTCCAGCTACGTTTTTGAAAGATCTCCAGTGCAGGCAAACAAAACACAATTGGTCTTTCTGCTGAAAAAAAAAATCAATTTGCTTGAACTGGATGTCCAGAGCAGCAGAGGTGGGAGCTGAAGTGACCAGCGTGTGCCATCCCTGACCACTCAGCAGCCCGAATCTGAGTGCTGCTGCTGCTTTTCCAAGCTTTCTGGGACTGGGGTTACACTTGTGGCTGGCAAGGCTTGATATTTTCCCATCCAGTTGATTTTAAAGACATGAAGCAAAACTCTGAATGAGTTGCTCAAATTTTTGAAGCTTCACCAAGCTCAGAGCTGCTGCTGGAGGATGTTTTATTTGTCCACTTCACACTGAAGCCTGGACTGTACTATCAGTGAGAGAATTCCTTCATTTAGAGAGCTCAGCTCCAGCAATTAGCAACCCAATCAAAGGTGCTAATTTCACCCAGACATCATTAAGCCCTCGGTGCTCCACTGGTCCAGTTTCTGCAAGGCTGTGAGATGCCAGCTCCCAGCACTGGCAGGGCACGGGGTGAGTGTGGGTTTTAGGGCTGCCCAGCCCTGTGTAATTCAATATTTCCACTGCAGATCGGCTCCAGAGCCAAACTTCAAAATGCCAGTGCCCGTCAAAGCTGCTTTTTGTGTCTCAGAGGGGCGTGGGGGGAAAGGCAGCCGGAAAGATGGGATGGAAAAAAGGAGATTCCAGGAGGGAAATGCAGCCTTTCACCTTCCCAGTGTCCTGGAGGCCAGGGCTGTGTGGCCCCCAAGATCCCCTGCTTGCTGGGACTGAGCGATTAAAGTTTCTTTCAATAATCACAATTTCAATAATTCCCTGCCCTCTCTCCCCCTCAGTCCTGCTGGGAAGGGCTGGTGGGCTGGCACCAGCGAGGAGAGAATTGGGCACTCAATTCAATCAACTCACTCAAGGGAGATTTGCTTTTCCTTTCTGCTTTTCCAGGTCCTCGCGGCTGCTGCGGGCGTTCTACATCCCCCTGCTCTCGGAGCAGCACACGCGCTACGCCAACTACACCATCCTGAAATCCCGCAGGAGGCAGGCCAGGAAAAAAATGGGAGGCTAGGAACACACCTGGGCCGGCAAAAAGCTCCACCCAAAGCATCTGCTGGCGCTCTTGGACAGCTGCCTGAGCCACGTTCAGCTCCCTGTGTGAAGGATGGTGCTGGGAGGATTCCCTGAGGAGCTCTGGCAGCCTCTGCTCCTCTGCCTCGAGCCATTGGAAAATCCAGCAGCCATCTATGGATGCTGTGTTATCCCTGCTGTTCCCTGTGCTCTTCTCTCTGACGCCAGAGGAGAGAAAAATGGAAAATAAAACGGGGGGTGGCACCTCAAGGTTCTGCTCCAGGCTGGGAAAATCCAGCTCAAATTCTCAATGTGTCTCCCCCACCCACCCCTCCACTGTCCTCACCTGCTCAAGTTCTGCTGTCTTTCACCCAGGGAATTTTTTTTCAGGTAACAAAGCTTCGGAATTTTCTTTTTCCAAGGGGAAAAGGAGGAAAATCACCTGGCTGACAATGAACTGGAATGCACTGAGTCTCAAGGAATGAAACATCTTGCAGAGGAACAGCCAAAGCTGCTCTGTCCAGGAGACATTTCCAGGGCTAAACCTGTGCTTTTGGGGAGAAAAAACCAAACTGAGACAATTATGTGTTTAATGGGATCAGAGTGTTTGTGTTGTCTGTGAAGCCAAGTGTTTGTTTGCTATTTATAATGATTTTTTTCAAGATCATTGGAATTCTGGACTTCAGCATCTTAAAAATTCTGGAATCATCCAGAGAGGAGAAGGATGAATCCATTTTTCTTTTTGCAGTTCTGTTTCCCAGAATAGCCAGGATGTGTTACGTGGGTCCAACATGCCTCAGAGCAGCGCTGTGCTTGTGCTATCTCCATTTTTAAATGTGCAGCATCACCAGCTGGATGGAGGGAGCTGTTCTCACTCACATCCCTGGAGTTCTGTGGGGATATGGGGTGGAGGGGAAGTTCTGCACCTGCTCCATGGTGTGACTGTGCCTGGGTTGGTCTGAGCAGGGGGATCAGGGAGCAGATTTGGATGTTTGGGATCCAGGAAAGCTCTGGGGGTCCAGGTGGTGGGTGCAGGTCTCAGCAGGATGGGAAGGCTGTGATCCAACCTGACCCTGCTGGGACAGAGCAGGAGGAGCTGGATGAGCAGCAGGGCTGGGCTGAACTGTAGGACCAACCTCAGAAACACAGGAGGAGTTTCTGAATCCCAGCGTTGCATTAAGGAGGTTTTTAATGCTTGTGCTACAGCCCTGCTGGAGCCTGGATGGTCACACCATGGAGAATCCCATTGCTCCCCATTCCCTGGAGCAGCAGATGGAAGCTGAGGCTCTAAATTCAGACTTAAAGTGGTGTCTGAGTCGTGCCATCCTTAGGGAAACGCAAGCCTCACCTTCCCAAGCGTCAGCTGTGGAGCTCTGAGGTTTTCAAGGCACGGGAGGGGAGGGCAGAGCTGACAGCAGGGTTCTGTGTCTGTGTTCATCTCCCCCTCCCTCCCTCCCTGCAGCCAGCTCTGTCCGCGGTAAAGCTCACACAGGGCTGTGGTGCTGCTAAATCCAAACCAAAACTCTTGCCCTGCTTGCTGCCTCTTCCCTTGATCAAATAAAGCACCAGGTGCAGCTGGAGCAGCGCCTGCAGCGCCTCTGTGAGTGTCCCCTGTCCCAGCCCTGGCCTCGTGTGTGTGTGAGCACAGTGCAGTAAACACCCATTGGAAACCACTCTGGCTGCTCCACCTTTCTTCCCACTTGGGTTCCTGTTCTGGAGCGCTGCTTGGGAGCTGATGACTTGGCAATAATCAGGAGTTATCGATGTTTTCCAGAGGGATCCAGCAGGTGTTTGTTCCTGGGAATAAACACAGGTGCAGCGCTGTCCCTCAGTGTCCTGCAGCTCCGTGGATTCTGCCGGGGAGGCGAATGCCTGGGGGAGTGTTAAACATGATACATGACACATGAAACCGGCTGCAAACGCCTTTTCACACAGAGGTTGGAGCTTCTCTGTGTCCCACGCGGCTCCTGTGGTGTCCCACAGTGGCGTTGGCGTAACCCTTGTCCAGCCTGGAGCGAGTACAGAGGAATTCTGTGTTGAAACGAGCTGGTTGGAAAGGCTCTGAGTGAGCAGCAGGGTGGGGAGCTGCTCCCTGAAATTATCCAGCCTCAGAACAGCCTGTCCAGGTGCTGCCCAGCCCTGTTCTCTCCCTTGCACAAAGACCAGGCTGTTTGGACCTTTCCTGTTTTGCATCCTCCCCTCGGCGCTGCCCAGGGAGGCTCCAACACTTTGAGTCAGCAAGGAGCAGCTCCAGGGCCTCTGGATGTGGGGTTGGTGGTGGGTTCACACTGCCAGGTCGGGTTTGGGACCTGCCCCGTGGTCAAGGCATGGCAGAGTTGTGGTTTCACCTCGGTTTTGGGCGCAGGTGGTGTTTCCACGTCCCTGGATGCAGCAGGTGCAGCCCTTCCCTGCCTCACAGAGAGTCCCTGGGGCTCCAGCTGTGACAATCCAGAGGTTCAGGAGTGCAATTCCCAGGCTCTGGGGCTCCTTCCCTTCACAGCTTCCTGGGAATCTGCTCTTGGGACAGGAGCTTTCCAGCAGCTCTGTGCAGTTCTGGCTGAATCACACCATAACCGAGCCCAAACCCTATTATTAGACTCTGGAAACTGCTGCCTTAGAGACAGGTTTGCTTATAAATACCCATGATTTTCTCTCTGGCTCTCCAAAGCTGGCAAGGAGAAAGGATTTCTGCTTGGCCAGAACTCCTGCTGTTGGAGCTTCTCCCCACCTGAGCTCGTCCTTCCAGCCCCCCAGATTCCAGCTGTGGGGGTGAGACACCCACCCCAGTGTCAGCAGGGTGGCAAATCCCAGCCGTTCTTGTGATCCTCCAGCTCTCCTCTCCCTGCCCAGCCTCCTCTGCAGGCTCTGCTCGGTGGTGGCTGCGCTTTTTAGCCCCTTCCTTTTCAGCCTGGTGGGGACTTTGCCGGGTTTAACCCCACTCGTGGCTGGGAAACGCTGCTCCAGCTCTTCCTCGGGCTCCCGGGAGAGGGCACCGTGCTCCGGAGAACCGGGAGGAGCCGGGGCTCGAGGGGTGAAAGTCCCGGGAATTGGGGCTTTGGCTGCGGGTGGAACTTGGGGTTTGGGGATGGAAGCTGCAGGCTCCTCTGTGCTGCCCTGACGGAGGAGATGCTGACCTTGGTCCCTCTTGCTGCCACATTGACCTGTCCCTGCTGCTGTGACAGCTCTGGGGGTTCAGTCTGAGGTGTTCCAGGGGGGTTTGCAGCATCCCCTCCATGGCTGGAGAGGGGGAGCCTCCCTCCCTTTATGTCCCTGGGGGAGTCTCCAGCCCGCGATGGACAATCCCTGCCTAATTGGGATTATTTGTGGAGCTCATTTTCTCCAGAGAGCTGACACTTATTGACAGATAATCCATTCTGTACAGAAAACCTGTGATTAATTGCTTCCTCTCATTTGGGCTCCAGAGTTTGCTAAGAAACATTTTAAACCCTTGGCAGTCCAGAGGAAAAAGTTGTGGGAGCTGCTGGGAAATCCAGGGCTGTGCTTGTCCATCCCAGCAATGACAAGCCTGGAGAGGGGAATCATTGAGGGGGATTAGGTGCAATCCTCACTCACTTTTTTTGGGCCCGAATAGGTGAGAGAGGGAACAGTAATTTATGAGAGAAATGGGAGGTCTGACTTCTCCATTTTGTGAAAGTCAGGAGAACAAGGCAGAACAAACCACAGGACCTTTTCATTTCCCTTTTTTACATCATAAAAACTCGCTGGGATTTTGGCTGCAGTGTGATTATTCCATGGTTTTTCAGGCAGGGAGGTATTTAAAATGTTTAAACAAAAGGGAAAGAGGAGATTTCAGGGAGCTCACCAACAGTGTTGGGGCTGCCTCTGAAATGTCACCTGGCTCTGACGTGCCTCTGGTGCATGAATGATTTACAGGAACAGCAGCTTGCAGCTGGGGCTGTCAGATGATCCAGAGCTGTGTTCCAGCCCCCAAAATCTGCTTTTCCCCTCAGCTGCCTGGCAGTCCCCACACAGAGCCCTTCACCACACCAGGACAGGGCTGGCCATGGGGAGGGGGCTGAGTTTGGGCATTTTTTGCAGCTCTGTGTGACCAGGGAACGGCTGGAGCTGTGCCAGGGGAGGTTTAAGTTGGATATCAGGACAATGTTCTGCCCCCCAGAGGGTGCTGGTCACAGGGAATGGTCACATTCCCGAGGCTCCAGAGCTCCAGGAGCATTTGGACAAGGCTTTCAGGGTGGGATTTTGGGGTGTCTGTGCAGGACCAGGGGCTGCACTCCACAATCGCTTCCATCCAGGATATTCTGTGGATTATTTTCGCTGGTGAGTTCACAGATGCGTTTCTGTGGACTCTGCACCTCCCAGAGGGGTGATGAAAACTGTTGATGTGTTTTTGTGCTCTCTTCTTCACGCCCTAAATAGCTCTGGCCAGTTCTGCCCCAGCTGACTGAAGTGCTGATGGTGCTTGGGCAGCAAATTCTGCCGAGGGAAACTGGTGCAGGCAAAAGCTGAGTCCTGCAACCTCTTGAGAGGACGCCTTGATAAAAGAGGGCAGGGAGGGTCCAGCATCCCCCTGGGAGGAGCTGGGCTTGGTTTCCTGCTCTGCTGGAGCACTCCGTGTTCCTGGTGCTCCGTTCTGGCTGTGGAGAACCCATTTCCCTGCCATGGGAATTCCCTGGATGTTCTCAGCAGCCTCTGGGGTTCTTCTGCCCGTGAACAGAGCCATTGTGCCGATCAATCATCCAGTACCACCTTCCAGAAATATTTGCTGAGAGATTTCCTTGTGTTTTGTGTTCTTGCTGGCTTGGGAGGGCTCCTCCTCTGTGCCACCAAAAAGGAGGATGAGCTGGCTTTTCCCCCTTCACCAGTCAATATTTACTCTCCCAGGCAAGCTGTTAAAACGCTGCTGCTCTCCCGTTTTTGGTGTTTGTTCCTCCTGCCCCAGAGTCTCCCACACTGGCAGCTTTTGTTTGTGCAGCAGTGGCCCGTGGGGGTTCCTGGAGACGAGGAATCTCCTCCTCTGCGAGTCCCAGAGTGTTCCAGCCCCGAGGAGGGCTGCAGTTTGGGAAGGGGAAGCCACAGGACCATTCCTTCCATCCCAAGGTGGAATCTTGAGAGGAAACCACAGGAGTGTTTATTCAATCCCAAATCTTCCACAAAAATCCAGAAGGGAAGGTAACAAGGATGGTCTCCAGCACATTTTTTTAGCAGTCCTGATAAACAAACTTTGCCAGAGCCCTGTCCAGAAGGATTTTTGATATGAGCACCACTTGTGTGTAACTTGGAGCTTTATCACTGCAAGTCCTTGGCCTCGTTATTTTCAATTAATTTCTATTAATTAAAACACTTAATTTCCTTATTACTGCAAT